GAATGAGCCAGCACAGACGAGCTACATCGTCAGGCCAGGACTCTGCAGTTTACACTCATCTACAAACCAGCGGTTACTCTTTCAGGGATGATGTTCTCATCCTTTAGAGAGGAATGTTGGTTTGAGAGAGGAGTAAAGGAAGCCATCTTTGTGTGAAGAAAAACGGTCCACCATTAAACAGAGGTGGAGGCCTTCGTGTCCAATTGTCCTCCTCCTACAACGCTGTTATTGCAAGTATGACTCAGCCCCCTGTAAGCAAAAGGTGTGAATCAGGGCCCCAACGATAGCCAACACAAAGAGGGAAAAACAAAAGCAAGGGGACGTTGAGCCCCGCCTGCAKTCACTACATACACATGACAGGACACCTAAGAACCACAGCATCCAAACCAATAAGTCAGATGATGGGCACATGACCCTCTATGAACAATAGAGCTAATCAAGCCTATTGTTAGGTGATGGCCCCCTTTTGCATATGACTAACCTGTTTGTCCACCATGTGGAAGTAGTGCTCTTAAGGCTGAGTCCACCTGAAACACATCAGACTGAAGAAGTCTCTTGGACGAGAGACAAAATGTTTCACTAAAGAAGAACCCATCCGGAGGACCTACATTTTTTCTTTTTGATTAATCTAGATTCTGATGCCAGCTTCACATGCAATAAATTAAATATCTAACCTTTAAGTGTGTGTCACCCATCAGGTTTCATGCCAAGTATTAGACTGAGATCAAACCAAATGATTCACAATCTTATGCATGACCTTATAAAATGTGTTAGCTCTGTGGTGTTAATGACTGTCATCTACTAACAAGACCAGTTTTAACTCAGTATCTGTAAAAAGCAGCTTTTGCTTGCTTCTTTTCGTTAGGTGTGACAGCCATATTGAATAAAGTTGACTCCAAACGTTGTAATAATACAGTAAATGCAACATTTGCTTTCTGAGTTTCATTAAAATCTGTTGTTTTGCCAGCTGACCTACAAGCAAAGATGCACACTCGTGCATACAGATATGGTCAAAGCATTACTGTTCTTTTTTAAGGTTGTGGTTTTTTTTACAAAATTTTAATTCAGTCAATAATATCTTACCTGCAGCAGAAATCACTCAGAGGATTATCATTTTAGAACAGGAGTGTCCAGTTCTGGTCTTCGAGGGTCGCCATCCTGCATGTTCTATTGGTTTTCCTGCACATACACACCTGATTTGAATGACTGTGATTCTGCAGAGCTTGAAGAGGTAACTCAGCCACTGCATCAGGGGTGGACTAAAGAAGATTTCTGTCATTTT